CTCGTTCATTTCCAAGGGAACGCTAGACAATAAGGTATGTTGAGTTGTAGACACGTTCATTGACATATTGGTAAAATTTTATTACCTCACGTTCATGTTTTTTTTTTATACATTGTATTTATACAATGATTTCACAAACTGAGATACTATTTAACATATACAGTGTAATCAGATTGAATTGAAGAACGTTCAGGATGAAATGTTACGTTTTTCAATAAGTTTAAAATTGTCATACGGATGAACGATAAGAAAACGTCGTCCAAGACGCAATGAGAGATACTGAAAAATTAAAATAATGTGATCCTCTTGCCGCAAAATGAACTAATTAACAACAAATGACACCCACAGAGTGATATATTTCGAAATATTTCAGAAAATGTTACTTTGATTGAAGAAGAGCTGTACGAGACATGAGGTATTGATCTGAATAAGTGTGAAATGATTACCCATACACAATCTGTGCAATATATAAGTGCTTTGCAGCACAAACACCAAAATATATTTTATTACATATCCTTACTATGTGAGCTTAGATCTTTCTTTGATGACAAAGATGCAAATCAAGGAATATCATTTCAGAGTTACTTCATAATCTGCATTACTTTTCCAACATGTCTAACTTTTTGTGAGCATCTCATCAACATCACTTACGAATCAAAGTAGATGCTCAAATTTGGACAGACTTCAATAATTGTTAAAACATACAATGACTCAGGAACGTTTTTTTTTTCATCGGTTCGCATTTCCATCGAGAACTATATTCTTCTTGATTTAGAAGGAACCGTTTAGCTTAGATATCGTCTTTAAGTGAAATAGCTTATTTGATTTTACAAATTATGCATATTTTAATTTTAATGTACTAGTGCAGTTTCACTTGAAGGCAATGTTATCAAGTCCCGCTGATGTCTTATTTTTGGTGATTTTTCAAACGGTTTCCAAGTTCTGTATCTGTCAAGTTTCCAGGTTTAATGTCAAGAGAATTTTCAATGATTTACTCGACGTCAATATCTAAAATATCAGAAAGATTTCCCATAAGATTTTTAAAATAGTCTTGCCATTTATTCAGGCTTTTAACTTGGATTTATTTGTTGTTTTTCTGTCACTGATCTGGTGGACAGTTTTCCAAGCAGACTGATTTTTGGCAGCAGCAGAGTTGATGAACCGATGTTTTTGGATGTATTCAGCTTGTTGATATTCATAAGATTTCTTGTCATCTACATCTGATGCCCATTCTGCATGCTAAATGGAGAAGTCGTACAAAGATGGACAGTATGTAGCGTACATCCCTTTTTAAACAACGGAGATCTAAGATCGTCAAAGAATTATAGAGGAATCACATTCACCTGCACTGAGGTAAAAAAAAATACAGCTCAATAGAATACAATCGGAAGAAGAGAAGTTGCTAAAAAATCATAATGTCTTTCTAAAAAATAGATCAACTGTTGGCAAAATCCTGACTGTTTAGATGATTAATGAGTTCTTCCGGGGAAAGAACCTATAGGCCGCCTTACTGTTTGTAGATTTCTGTAAATCCTTCAATTGTGTATATAGCGGAAAAATGGAAAAGATCCATCTGGCATATGGTATATCACCAACTGAGACAGTAACTGCCATAATTGTGCAAAACAAAAATACCAAATCTTTGGTTAGGTTCCAAGACGTAGACACAAGTGACTTCGACATCAAAGCAGGGGACCTTCAGGGTGACAACCTTTTACCTTTTTTCTTTGCTACCACTCTTGACTACGTATTGGGAACTTTCTTCGATAAACCTTATCATCTACGATTTAATTATCAGTCTTTTACTGTTTCCTCAATCCTCCCTATTTTATTTTAACTTTCACTTCCTGTAATTCCATGCCTACTAGTGGTATTACCCTCCTTGCCTGGAGTGAAATGATTAAAAAATGATTTTCAAATTATTGTAATAAAATTATGTACTTTAATAATTCCGACTGCGTTTCCAATTGTAATTATTACATCTAAAACATTTTCTTTGGTGTATTATTGTATAAGAACCATATGTCACAGAAGATAGGCAATCTATTTAAAATAATGTAACGCTGGAGCGAATATATTAGAGAACCCTTCCACAATGAAAGCGAACAACCATCAATACACAGAACTACTGACGGGCCTGAAATTCTGAAAATCAAAGTAGAAGCTGCACTGGCAAAATTGAATAGAAACAAAGCGGCAGGGCCAGACGGAATTGTAACGGAGATCCTGACAGCCTCATATGATTTGTCATAGGGAAGATCACAGAAATGATGAATGAAATCTACAACAGTGGGGATATACAGGAAGATCTCAGCAGATCTATCTTCATGGCAATGCCTAAGAAACCAGACGCAAACGAATGTGAACTCAACCAAATAATCAGCCTAATGAGCCACGCAAAAAAAAACTTATCCGTATTCTGATGAATAGAGAGAACATCAAGCCGGAGATAACACAAGAACAGTGCTAGGTTCTTAACAAAATCGGAACACAGAACGCG